AAAAAAAAAAAAAAAAAAAAAACAACAGTTTTTTTAAACCCCCCAAAAAAAAAAAAAAAAAAAAAAAAAACACAAAAACCCCACAAAAGGTCTGCAAATGATAAAATAAAACGATGAATCTATATCATGATTTGCTTTTATTTAAAACGTAAAAGCACCAGTTCTCTACTCCTGCAGAAATAATGTCTGCTCCTTGATTACTCCAGTTAGAATAACTGTGGAACATTTATTTATTGTTTATTCCAATTTAATAAGTGAGTTATAGAATAATTCATTTAAATTTTATTAGAATTTGACTGTAGTTTTCCAGTACTTATTGAGAGGAATGTTAGAAATGTTTGCCTGTACTAGCAATACACTGTAAAAATCACTGTTTTCCTGAGTTAAAAAGAACTACAAAGTTTACAGGTGTGGAGTTCAGTAAACTGGGGTTTATATATAACTAACCCAAAGTTTTTCTTATTGGGACAGACCTGCACACTGTGATGTTTACAAATTCACTAACCTGTCAAAGGAGATTTAGAGCTACATTTACAGCAACATTGTTTCCCAAAAGCAACAAAAGCATAGCCCAATTTTTTAATGTCAGCAACTTTCTAAGCAACTTATCTCATTCAAATGTCTGTAATTCTAATGAATTCAAGAAAATAATAATTAGATTTTGTGAAAAATATTTGATCAGATAATAGATGAGACAGATTAAATTGCAAAAAGTCTTAATCTTGAGTGCTTGATCTCTTAAATGTAATTTACAGCAGTGATAGAGTTACAGTGTCACTGGTGTGTTTTGATGATTGACAAATTTCTACATAAAACAATCAGATGACAGGACTTAACAGACAGAAAACCCCAGCAGACACTCACAACGTGTTTATGCTTAGCAAGTCTGCATGTGCTAACTGTCAATGTAATCTAATCTTGTTAAGTTATACTGTCTAGAGGACACACAGTATTAATAGTTATGGGGTCTATATGGAGCAAAGAGACATTCATGAGCTCGGTGAAAACAGTTACTTTATTTTAGACCCGGCATGTTCCTTTTCCTCCCAATTTGCCCTCCATTCACTATTCAGCTGGTAATTTTATGTAAGGCTTTTCAAATATCACTTCACGGCCATTTTCAGATGGAAAACTAAAGTTTGCATCAGATTGGAAACTTCTAGATCTGTAATTAAATGGCTGAAAAAAACCTTTCAAACAAGAGGCTGTTAAGAACCTATAAATCATCAAGTTGGACAGAAGAGCGATAGTCTCACAGG